ATGAGGTGAAATATTCGGCCAGTAATCTTCGAACCGGATCGGGTCATTGTCGCGTACGGACAATATTTTATTATGTTATGCATGTAGCATTGTAGCGTGTGTATTCTATATTAATATGTCACGAACCTTGTTGATGGTTAACTATAACGACGTGGGTAATATTATATCATTAATACCATAATAGTGATTACCGAGTTTTGCCCCATTGCCACGGTTTATAGCTGATTATTACAAATTTATTGCATCGTTCGCAATATTGTAATAGTGTCAAAGGTACTATAGAGGTAGGTAATCTAACTTATATCGAGAATGTCAGTATTATTGTTAATAATGTTAATATCAGTATGTTATCAACTAAAATTATGGTAATGATAACGCCAATAATAATCGATAGAGGAGATTTTAGGCGCAAGTCGCGTTGTTTCACAATCGATCGACAAATGAAATGAGATATTTGATGGCTTCGCTTTTGAGACATTTTATTCTAATCTCGTCATTTACGACGATGAACTATAATTTAATTTTTAAATTCATTTATCTACACAATTACACAATTATAATTTGCAGACACTGAATCGTTCCGTTATAAATATTCATCGGCAACAGCGTGAAGCAATTGTTTAAATTAAATGGTTGTCTCTGAGATAATTTATTATAAGCTAATCAATATGCAAAGGAAAATTTTTGCGTATGTATCACCATAATAAATACGTTTTAAAGTTAGTTATCGAGTTTATGTCTGCGTACGTAAATACGTTTTAATGGTTATTTCTTTTTTACGGTAAACGAACACGTCATTTACGTTTTATGCAGTGGATTTAATAAATTCGAAAAAAACAGACGAAAATGTGTAAATAATTTAACTCGCTGATGGGATCACTATTATTATTAAATAATAAATGACAGTAGACGTTTAAGACTCGTCCTGCAGTTTATTGTCTTATTGATGCCGACAACGAACAAACGGGTCAACAACGGTGCATCTATATTGCACATTTCCGTATAGTTATAATAATCAATAGCGCCCGAATGCACGCAATGAGCCCACAGGTTGAGATTCTGACAGTGAGGACCAACCAAAGTATTTATCGAAATAAAAGAATTTGGAAATTATAATATCGTAGTTAGCATTTTATATTTTTGGTTCATTATGTTTTTAAAATACACTATGATTATTTTAATTACATACTATTATAGTTTAAATATTTTTAAATTAGTTGATGTAAATATCACGCTAGGCATGTATAGGTACATACCTATTTGTCTATGCCATAACTGATATATGTGTAAGGTATGTGTATACTATATAGATATAACAGTTATGGTCTTGTCCTTGTCCTATACTGTTGTAATATGATGTCTTATACTACACTAATTATTATCAATGGAGCCGCGTATATGCAGTAAAATATGGATATTTCTTTATTTTATTACTATTATTATTTGTATGAAAGGCGTTTAAAGTGTTTTCAAAATCAGAAAAGTTGATCAAAAAACGATTGAAAAATCCTACTCTAATATTTATATTTTGTGTCCTTGCTAGTAATCATATTATTCGCACTGGTTGCGAGGTTTACACTTATTGAAATAACAATGATCAAGATTTCGATGAACTTAAAAACATCAACAGCAAAGGTTATTAGTTTTTTGTTTAATACATAATGAGTGATTTCTAGAACTAAAATTATACAATTAATATGATGTTAATTTTATGTGATTTCCACTAACATTAATATTGTGGTTATCATTAGCAGAAGGTTTAATTAATTATTGTATTATATAGGTAGGTTTTTTTTAGAAAAGCTAACATATTTGCGATGTTTTTGATGCCTGGTCCTAATGCTTCACTCGTGTTGGTTAGAATGTTGAATTTTCTGGGTTCGTCGGAATATTGGTAGCACTCTGTTATAATATGTTTTACAGTTACCCCACACACTGTGCATAGAGGGGGCTTCTCTTTGGCCATAAGGAGCTTGTGAGTCAGCCTTGTGATGCCTATATTCGAAGATGATTGATTATAATTTTTTCTCTCCTGCTGAAGTGCTGATATTCGGGTCTTACAACTTTAAAATTGTGTTTTTATTTCTCTGAGTTTGGTAAGTTGTATCGACCAGTGTATTTACCATTTTATTCGAAATTTGTTTTTAATATGAGTTTTGATATTATCGTAAGTTACAATATCGAGAAGTTGATATAGTATGGTTGTTTGGTTGTGCTGCTTCCAAAGTTCTTAGGAACTTATTACTTATACATTATGATTAAAACAATAATATAATAATACTATGAAACTCTAATAAACATTGAACACCTAAGCTATCACAGTATCACTCTTAAGTCTTAATTCTTATCAAGAGTATCTACCAATACATTTAAAAATATATAGTTATTTGTATTGAAAACTAAAATATAACGTATTTTTTATTRTTAACAACTCTGATTCCTGCATGTCTAAACTGTTATCTTAATATAATAATATGTTTGTGGTATGATATCATTTATGATCAGGTGTACATAATTTTACGAAAATATGAGAATTCTTAATTAATATTTTTTTACTTCACTTCTCATCTCATCTTAAATTTCATTATACGCCTGTAAAGAACCATGGTTATTTTGAATAAATTAGTTATTGTTATTGTCTGTTTATTACGGAATAAATTCCAATTACATTTTAAATATACAAAAAAGTTATATGAGTATTTAGGGCAGAAGGAAAGAAAAAAATACATATATATATAAATCAAGTTGAGTGTAAACTGTACATTAATGCATAATATTATTTAAGGAGAGATAAAGAGAAAAAAATCTTACAAAAATTGAAAATTAATGAATATATAAAGAGAGATCATTAAGGGAACAGTTAGGGTCTCGATAATCCGAACGAGATTGGGGAAAGGGGTCGTTCAGATTAGCGATTTGTCCGGATTATCTTTGGCTTGAAAAAAAAAAAAACATCAATTATATTATAATTTTAATCATGAAATTTTGTTTTCATTTGTATTAATCTATATTTGTAAAATAATATATAAAAATATTAATATAATATTATGAGTATAATTATGAACTTTACTATTTAAAATATTTTTTTTTTTTGTACAGTGGTTCTTATTATGGTTTAGTATGCCTTGTCCCCCATAATCGAAAAATTTTATTACCGGAAAATATTATTTATAAATACATACATATTATGGTGATAAGGTAATTCTTAAGCCCGTTCGAATTACTGCGCCTTTCGGATTAGGCTGTGTTCAGATTATCGAGACCCTGCTAGCTGTACTTGTTTTAACTTTATTTCAATGAAGATTATCTAACCTTTTCTAGTTTTCTCGCCGATAAGAATAATTGGTGTAATTTTTTTTTAATAGGCATTATGGTTATTCGTTTACAATGCATATTAAATATTAATATTATATATATAGGTAGCTATCTATATGAATTTAGATGGAAAAAAACAAATTCCTTTTTGCAAACGCTACTAAAAATAAAATTCATCAGGTACCTATCATTACAATATGCATGATAACTATTATCCTTATTCATTAGGTATCGCATAAAAGTTGAAAACATATATAATTATTAATTAGATGAAGCAATAAGTTGTACGAACGGAAATAAAATATGTTCAGTATGACAGTATTAATGCTAAAATTTAATAATAAATATTATCCTGTAATACAATGTGGCAATCCAAGGACATGGATATAGTTTTGTAAAAGCAACGTTCATATATGTATATGTGATGGATATAATTGAAAAGTTTTTTCCTTCGAAGAGTATACTATTACAATCTGATGGAAAACTACGTAGGAAATATGCATTACATTTTTTTTTCATTATTACTTTTATAACTAATATTTAAATTTTTATGAAGTAAAATTAATGACAAAATATGATGCCGGAAAAATAATATTCATTTCGCTATTGAGTTTTAAAATAAACAGGTGGGTATAATAACAAATTAAAAAAAAAAATTCACACTTTCATTGAATAATATGAGCAACCGTGAATTCACTTCAGTGTTTTTGATATAATTTATATAATACTAAAATTAGCATTAAAAAATGCTATATCATAAATTTTAAATTCATTCAATAAAAATATTAAAATAATAATATATGCATTAATCTAATTTAATTATTTTATATTTTATTGTTCCGGGAAATGATTTAAAATTCCAGATAATTGATTTTTAATGTTTTTGCTTACCTACTGCAGTTATAAATTATATAATTTTACTTTTTATATTTTTATAACATGGTTTATTGGTTATTTAAACAGTTATATTCAAATAATGAGATTTGGGATTCATATTTCTTAAAATTAACTTTAGGTTGCCGATTAAGCTTAAAACTAACAATTTAAATCACTGCATTTACGTTACTGTGAATGGATAAGATAAATTTATTTTTGAAAACAAAAAATTGATTATCTGAGATTTGAGAGTAAATAAAGGTTATGATATAGACAATATGAGTTATAGGATATGCACCTAATAAATACACAGTTTGGAAATATGTAGGCAACGTATAAATAAAATTACTTTAAGATGTTTACATAATATAATCGATATTAAAATGGTTCAATATTAGTATATATTTTATAAGTTATAAAATAAAACCTCTTGAACCATTAATATAATCAATGCCACTTCAAAGTTCAAGTATTCTACACTTGTAAACGTAATTTTTAGCATACCTACTTATTATTTAGGTATTTTCACACTATACGTACCTGAAATTACTTTTATTTTAAGTACTTATACGGATAAATTATATAGTTAATGTATTATTGGACATAATATTTCGATATCTGGATTATTTATTATTAGGTACTAACCAATGTATTTTCGTTAAGATATCACTTAGGCTTTAGAATAAATGTAAATGTACAGTAATTACTATTTTATTAGTTATCTATATATTAAACATCAAAAATTGTTGAAATTAGTTTATGTAAACATAATATTATAATAAGTATTGAACAATAACAATATATTTCAGAGCCCTTGCTATGTAGCAAAGTGTGTGTTGTTGCTCCAACTCATATACAGAACGACTGGGGCAGGATGTTCGGTGGATCATGGCAGTGGGATGAATTATCCGACGACCACTGCCAGCGGGACATGGACAACTCGCGGAGGGATATCTTCTTACGGCTGGGACAGCCGACAGCCTATAGATCCGTGTAGCCGTTGTACAAACGTTCCACCGCCATTGCCCGGATCACAGTACACGACACAAGCTCACGACGGTGGGATGTACAGTGTAAACGACCGTATTAGCGTCAGTGGTTATATGTCAGATAATCGGGTTTCCGTGAGTGGTTACATGACGGATAACCATGGTAGTACGGGTATGTTCGGATCAGACAATCGACACTCTGGTTATTCGGACAATCGTGGTAATGGTTATAACACTGACAATCGGGGTCAGATGAACAGTCGGCCAAATGGTTATAACTCGCTAAGTCATGTTACTGGCAACGGTTATATGTCAAGCAATTCTAATTACGGCAGTAACAGTCAAGTAACTGATAATCACGTCCAAATATACAACACCCAAAATGCAGACAGCCTTATAAAAAATCCTAATTACCGGGGTAATGGTTACGATAATTTAAGCCCGGAATGGGAACGAAGACACAACAACAAAAAAGTTAGCATTGTCGGTAGCAGCAGTAGCTATGGAAGTGGTATAGGTGGTGGCAGTGGCAGTGGTGGCTATGGAGACGGTATTGGTGGACACGTTATCAGTGTAGGTGGTATTAGTGGAAGTAGTGGATATGGAAGCGGTGGGAATGGAGGCAGTATTAGTGGAAGTGGTGGTTACAGTGGTTATGGGCATGGTACTAGTGGTTCGGGAAATGGTGGAAGTGGATATTATCAAGGAATGTCGTATCCTGTTCCCAATATTCCCGACGATCACGGAACACATATGCTAGGTAATTACCATAGACCGTCTACCAACCGGTGGAATATCAAAGGAGCATATCCAGTAAAAGTAGAATCSGGATATTGGCAGAGTCAACCACCCAAAGATATCGGATGGGATGAAGCCAGCAAGAAGGTGGGAGTGATAGCCGGATGGATTGGTGGTCCGAATAAGTACGATTCCAGTAAACCTTCAACGGYGTACGGTTCGCATCAGGTGAATGACAAAAATGACGACGATTACTTCAATAAGGGAACTGGTTACGAAAACAATTCGGACCGAAAAAAACCATATATGGGTTGGGGAGGTTCCGGATCGTACGAGGTGATCAAAATGAACAACGGATACAAGTACATTGACAAAAATAGCAACAGTGACTACGGCACTTCTTACGGAAACGGTTATGGTTACGGGGGACAGAATCACAATAACAAACCKAGTCAAGATTACGGCTTGAAACCGATGAACGTCGACCATGGCAGACCTTACGACCATGGGACTTCAAGTTACGCCAAACCCACTCACGGCTATGATAAACCAATAAACGACTACGGTAAGCCCACACACGATTATGGTAAACCTACTACACAAGACTATGGTACGCCAACCACTCACGATTACGGTTCTAGGCCCCATGTCGATTACCAGAGTACATCGCGTCCAATTGGATTCGAATCAACGACCCCCCGACCACTAGGGTGGGGTTTTCAGAAACCAGGATATCCAGTGATAGCTTCTCGACCCACTCAGCACTGGGGTGAAAACTCCTTTGGTGAACAATCAGGAAATATAGGTGGTGGTTCAGTAGGTTACGACAGACCTAGCGGAAACGTAGTAGGAAGACCGTTTGATTATGGTGTTTCAAGGCCAGAAAGTTACGAAACACATAGACCGGTTGATTATGGTTTATCGAGACCGGCTAGTTACGGAACTCAGAGACCGGACAATTATGGATCTTCTCGTCCGAATAATTATGGATCTTCTCGTCCGGATAGTTATGGATTTTCTCACCCGAATGGGTATGGATCATCTAGGCCCGATAATAGAGGAGAAATATCAGATAATGGATCATTCAGACCTTATGCGGGATCCATGAACAATATGGTGTCAGATTATGGCTCCCCAAAACAGGAGTTCGATAAATTTAGTGGTTATTCAGATAACGATGATGGTAATGGCGGTAGACCACATAATATACACAACAGACCGGGATACGACAATGAAAGGCCATTTATGAACGGAAACGAAGTTTACGGTTCACAGCAGCAGACAGGTTCGGGATATGGAAAAGGATACGCGTCAAATTGGAACTATTATTCTAATTCCATGAGGTAAGGTTATATATTTTGTACAGCAATGTTTGGTATTTATATCGAGTTTGATAAGTTAGTATTTGGCCATCCATTTTTCCAATAATTAAATATGTACCTACTTATTGTTAAACAATGTAAATTAAATAGGTRCTTAATTTATCTACTATGCGACTGTTTCCACCATCTGCAGCAATTAAAAACTACAAGATGATTATAAAAATTTGGTATTGATACATGATTGTGTATCACTATAAAATTTACACTCTGTATAATGGAGTATCGTAATTCATAACGGATGTAAATCAAAGTTGCAAATTTTGCATTACCTCGAAATGTGCAAATTTTTTTTTTTATTCATATTTTTACGATTTTCAATATTGATTACGGTATATAATAAACACGGTAGATACAAATAGATGTCAGAAACCATAATCTACGTATAATAATATTATTATCATGAYGAGTGTTATTCAAATATTCTATTTCCCCTTGACTCAATTCCGGTATGCKTWTAYAGTTCGCAAGGTTTCTGGTATTCTCAAAACTATAATAATACATTTTTTCCACTGTCATTATTGTTTTATCAAATACGAGATTCTTCGCATAATATAAACAATAAAGGTTGAACAACCAACCAACGTCGGTCGGCAACCCGAAAGGTCAACTAAAAACACGTGTGCATCATAGATCCAGCGGACCATTAAATTTATGCAGGAATATTGCTATTACTCGTGTAATCGTAATGGTACCTAAATTAATTCGAAACCAGAACCTTGGGATTATTATGAATCGTTTTAACATTGTTCGGATGAGTTATTTTTTCAAAATATTCGTAGTTCAAACACGTGATATAACTTTGATGTCACTATAATTAATAATGATTACGAGAGGTGCATGAATGACTGAGATGTACTGGCTCCGGTAGTTACGAAATTACTGTATTGGTTTGCGATTTTTTATTCGTAGGTTATGAGTAAATTATTGGAGTAAATTCATAGTATAAAATATTAGTAAAGATACTGTTTTGTCATAACTTTTATTTTCAGATACGTTTTATTCGTCTTTTTTGCAAATTAATTTTTACAAAATTAACAGAAAATTTAAAACTTGATTTTTAAAATAGAATTTTTTCTATACCTACATCTAAATTATAATAATATATTATATATGATTTTAATTTGTACACTTATAAATGTTTTAATACGATTTAGGTACCTATCAGTTTTTACAGAAATTCTACAAAATAACTAAATTCAAACACATAAAAGAACATAGGAATAAAATAGACGATACCTTATAGAATTTTTTATACTTTTAACAAACAAAAAAATTTACAGAAATAGATTGAAAATCTTTTCACAAATGTCCATATAGATACTTTACTTATCTCATATAACTATTTTGTACAAATAATTGGGTAGATAAATTTGTGGCTAGATGCTTTAAGTTATTTTTATCTAGATAATATGCAATAAAAGTTACACACCACATTATCATTATTATTCTACTAAAAAATTGGTTTATATTGCGTGTTCGATGGGTGCCATGAATATGGCATATTATTTTTTCTCTACTCTTACTTAATCCCTAACACGCTTMTGCTCATGATTCTGATCGTTATGTCTTGTTCGCGTTGTAGCGGACAGTCCAGCAACGGATGGAATGATCAGCAGAGAGAATATTTGCAAAGGAGACCAGACGGTGACGTGTTGCAGTCCGGATCAAGCTTCAGACCCTCCGAGTCCACTCCTCTACATTACAACGGCCACAGCGGCATCGGCGCATCGACCGACAATGGTTTCCTGTACAGGGGTTCGTCGACGATCGGTGGCTCATCTACCACTCCTATGCCGACGACTAATAATTCGTAATCGTTTTCATATTAATCATAATTTAATGAATATGATTTTTAGTCGCTTTTTTTCCACTGTGTACCTAAATTTTTTTGTGCAATATTTTTTTTACGCTGAAAGGGCGATTAATGTTATACAAATAATATTATTTTGGTATAGATTTCATTTTAAAAAAAAATGTGGAGAACTTTTATTTTTATTTTTCTAGGTTGGCATATGTATGATTAGTGACAACTGACAGTTGATCATGATTTATCAAATATGTGAGAATCAATTACTATTTTAACAATAATTTTAAATTAGTTATAACTTATAAGTATAATATTATGCAGTAAACAGAAGTCACAACATATTAGAAATAGCGTATGGTATATATATATTAAATTGTATACACTATGCATACCGAGTGATTTAAAATAAATTTCACAGGCCATTTTATCATTTAAAAGTAGAGAAGATAAAAAAATTATGATACGAAAGTTTTCTTATTTGGAAAAGTTGGAATTAGAAAATTAAAATTAAATGGGAAATCGTACTTTTTAAAAATATTTTTATGATAAATATACAAAAATGAATGATGAACTGTATGTATGATAAAGATTTTAAGTTTTAGTGAGCGAAGTGGAATTGAACAAGGGTGCCTTGACAAATGTTCAATAATCCCCTCACCTAAACTTTAAATACCTACTTATGATTATTGAATTAAAATTCCATTTTATACATAATACATCAACATACTCTGAATCATAAAAAACATATTCTACTTCACAATTTAATATAATATTGTATATCAGAAACTTAAAAAATTTAGAAAAATAAAATATTTTTTTCGAAAATAATGCTTTGTAACAACTAAAAATTATGTGAATAAATATATTTTTCAAAAATGATACATAAAACCTTTATGCTATAAAATTACTGTAATATAAATTTAGAATCACTCGGTATACATCATATAATAATAAAGGGCCTGCACGTGACCTATTTTTTGCTCAAAAACAGGAAAAACTTTTATGCTTTGTTGAGATGACACGTTGGCGCATGCAGCGTGTGCGTTGATGGCCCTGAACCCGCATACAATCACATTCGCACTAATCATCATTGACAACTAACAAAGCATGAAATGCCACGGTCAAAATTGCATATTGCATAAATATTGCCCTTTAAAAAGTCACACGAGCAGGCCCCTTAAACGTATTAGGTATGCCATGTGATCGGCTTATGTTTACTTAATAATATTATCTTAAGAACTATAATTTATTTATGATTCTCATATACAATTTGTGTAATTAATATATTTAAAACAATATAATATAAGTACTAATTGTATTATGAAGACAATATCATGTTTACTGTTGTGAGTACCTATACTAATCCTATAATAAATAGTATTCATTATATAAATTTATAGAATGGTATAAAATGTAATAAAACAAAGTTTCATACCAGAATTTTTCGGTACCAAAAATAAGCCTGCCTAGATTAATAATTAATAGATCCAGAATTATTTCATAACAAAAATCACCTATTATTCAAAACAAAAAATAACACTATTTGAGGTCTATTATATTTTAAGCTTTCAAAGTTATAGGCATTTTCTAATATTGAAATAAGTCCTACTCCGAAACAGTATTTTAAATAATCCTCATTTTAAAACGAAAATCACTTATCGTGATTGAAATAGTTTAATTTTGTTTAATGCAAATTTAAATGTACCTAAGTATAAAAATGATTTAATTATCAGTATAAGTACCTTAGATAATATTATAATATATATAATGCGCTAACATTTTAAATAACTGTAGACTTTAAATTTTCTATATTAATTGTTAGAATAATAAAAAGTTCAATTTATACTAAATACTCATTTGATTTATCTCAGATCAGTGCAAACATAATATTTTTAATTTAGTTATGTACACGTTTGAATAATTTTATTATAAATTTATATAATATCTTAAAAAATACATTTTATTTTATTAGATGTACATAATATAACATTATGATTAATATTAATTTGATAATTATTAGATATTATAATTAAAATTAATTTCATGAATAAATGTAATATTATTCTTACTTAAAGTTAAATTGCTATATTTTATTATCTAAAAAATATTGAACATTGTACAAGTTATGTAGGTATGTGAAAAACTGATAGCAATATAAGTAAATATTTCATTGGTTTAATATTGGTAACTAATAAATTTAGTTTCATAATATTGTTCGTTTAACTGTCTTATGGCAACATAAAAAATTAACTCCTTTGGGATTATTGAATAGAATTACAATATTATTTTAATTTTTAATTTTTATCCATAATCTCCCAAGGGGTGTTTGCTTGCCTATAATAGGCTTACAATACCTACATGAATAATACATAGCATCGGATATGCATGTATTTACAATTTTTTTTTTTTAATATTTGATATCAAGGTTAAAAACGCAATTTCATTGAATAATTATATAATCGTTATGTACGTAATATTTTATACTATTATTAAAAAAAAGTTACATACTTTTGCCATTTACTTCTGGAAAATTCTTCTATATTATATTGTAATACTGCTATTCAAATTATTTTTTATAACATTTATTACTTTTTAATTATGATTATTTATTAATCCCTAAAATATTACAAAAAATCTAAAATATGTCAAATTAATATTATTACGACGCAATGCCATTCCAACATTCTTTTCCATAGTTGGTATTGAAGTGATTAAGCGATTAATAATTTGTGAATAACTCACAGGTAGCATAGCATGAATAAACAAAGAATCAATTTTCAACAATAATTTTTATGAGACTATAAATATATTTCAATTATTTTTAAACCAACTTTGTTGTTCTAAAATATAATTTACCTTCAAAATTGTATAGGTTTATGGGTATGATTGTATAAACAATTAAATAAATCTTAAAGAGGGTTAGATACAATTTCGTGCGGTATTTATAGCGATGGTAAATTTTTCATGACGCGATATGGTATGTAAAATATTTATTTTTTTTTAAACATAATTAATAGAATATAACTAATTAATTGAACTTCAAAGCTGTATATCATTATATTGCTGCAGTATTATAATAGTCTACATACCTACTGCAATAAGGACTTAAGTAAAACAAGTTATATTTTTCATTGGAAATATTGTAGACATTAGTTTATGAATATCGAGGAAATTCCTAAACAATTAATAATTATTTTTGTATGTAGTTTTAAAAGGTCCTCTTAAATTTTTCATAAATGTTTTAGAGTGCTTTATATATACCCAAGCTATTTGGACAAATTTTATCATACGCTTTATGCATTTTTGCAATTTAATAAAGTCTAGTTATTGGTTATTGACTTTGGTGGCGTATTGAAAACTGTGATGCCATATATTACATTATAGTTATTATGGAATAGAGCTTTTATATCGTGGATATAMACGCGTGATGCATCCTACTACTATATTGAGTGTATATGTTATGGACAATTTACAACCTCTCCCTGTATTTATATTAAGAGTTGGATTTTGATCATGTTTATTGAATTGCAAGTTAATCATTTTTATTTTTATTAAAATTTATTTACTCGTTCATCGTGGACAAAAAATAAGCGTCTTGGAAATTTAAAATATACCCCCAACTAAAAGATATGTTCAGGTTCCATATATTCGTAGAAATAAATAATATGCGTGTAACACTCGTGAAATATCAATTGTTGTTTGAGTAAAGATTTTTCAATGAATTTCCACTAATAGAGGATGTGGCCAATGTGGATTGTTAATTAATTCTTCAACATTTCAACATGATAAGTAAATAACACTAACATATTGTCACGTTAAGTATGTATTTGACCAAACTATACACGGTAAACGTATAATATAAAATATAATATGATATAATACGAGGCGTGTCCAGAAAGTAAGTGTACTCAATTTTTGTAGGCTTCAAAAAAATGTATTAAAAAAAAAAAATAACGTGGTTACATTAATATATTTGTGTGCTATTTTTCTACATAGTCACCATTTCTTTCAATGCAGGTTGTGAGACGGCAGATTAATTTTTTTATGCCTGCCTCGTAGAACTCTGCCGCCATCTCCTTTGTCCACTTTTCGACCGCCCCCTTCACTTCCTCGTCAGCTGAAAATTTTTTTCCACCCATGTGCTTCTTCAGGGAAGTGAACAAATGGTAATCTGAAGGCGCC